CCAGACGTTCTTGCACGATTTCGGCGGTTCGGCGAGGCCCGCTGAGCGGCTCCCTGGTGAGCGACTTCGCAAGGTCAAGGGACGGGAACCAGGACAGGAGACGCCGCTTTATGGTGTCTGCCATCGTGTCGGTGTAGACCTGCTCGTTGAGGGACGTCATGTAGGCCTTCTGCGGCGTGATCTGCGTGGCTCGGCGGCGGTGCGGTTCATGTTGCTGCTGTAGAAGGGCCTGCATTCCAGCACGAGCGGCTCGCTTGTGGATGCCAATCATAGCGGCTCGGGCGCGAGGAAGAGGGCCAGCTGCGCGGGCCAACCTCTTTAAGTGGGAGCCCTTGCAGTCGGGGAAGAAGGTAGAATTGGTGATGTGCTCGAAACGTTGGACGATGGACGTCTTGATGGACCAGCATTCGCTGCACCAGTGGCCGCGCTGCACTGCGACGAGGGGGGAGCTGCTCGTACGCGGCGTCGCAGAGCGCGTTGGCTGCGTCGCGCCACTCTGCCACCGCGGCGGTGGCAGTACGCCACATAGTGGCCGCCAAGTAGTTCTCGATGCCAATAGGGACCTCAGCCTTGGTCCAGAGGGACATCGCGAGGATGTCGGACTTCGCGAAGCTGGACGGGGCAACGCGCAGCAACTTGTGGATGGCCTGCAGCTCCTTCTGGGGGATGCCCGCCGAGGGTTTCGAATAGCTGGCCTACGTATCCAAGGACCGTGACGGCAGCGACGTTGCACAGTTTGATGCTCTGCTGAATAGGGGCGTGGGACGCGGCAAGCTTCTCGACGCGGTCCCACCACTTGACAGCAGGGCCGCGCCATTGGTCATCAAGAGTGGCGCCAGGGCCAATAAAGAAGCCGAGGTATCGGGCACTGGACTCAACCTTGAAGGCGGCCCAGGGAGCGTGGGCGGCAGCAAGTACTTGACGTATCTCTGCAATGATGTCCTGAGTGGGCAGCGTCCAGGTCGGGACCACGATGCATTTCTTGGCCTGGAGGCACAGGCCCGCGAGAGTCTCCACCGCAATGATGTGCGGCGCGAGCTTGCTGATGTTCGCGAGCCTCGCGAGGATGATGCCGAGGTCGTCAGCACATGCGCTTACCAGACCGCGCTCGATGGCTGAGAGATCGCTGGTGAGGGCTCTGATGACGGGGTCGAAGACGAGTGCCCACATCGCACCGCTTAACGGACATCCCTGAGCGACTCCTGATGCTGCGATCAAAAGGGGGCGGCGTGCACCTCCCAGGTCCAGGTAGGAGACAGGCCAGTGGTAGCAAGCCTGAAGCAGGCGTAGCACGTGTCCATGGATGCCCCACCGCTGGAGAACATTCCACATCCAGTGGTGGCCGAGGCTGGGGAAGGCGGCCGCGATGTCCATGCTGACAAAGACGGGCTTGTCAGTAGCTGCATTAGGTGAAAGACTGCGACGTCGAGCGGCGGCGTCAACCACGACGACGTTACGCAAAAACTGGCGGCCATTGACGAATCCCTGCTGCTCGGGGGACGTCTCGGCTGCGAGGGCGTGAAGCTGCCGGTTGGCGGCGGATGCCATCAGCTTCACATCCGAGCTCTTCATTGAAAGCGGACGTAGGCACTCTGGAGCACGGGTGCACTCCGCATTGCCGCAGGGCTCGTCGCCCTTCGGTAGCATGGCCATGAGGGAGTAGTTGAGGGCGTGAGGCGGCGCGCGTCTGGTGGCGATGTCACGGCAGAAGTCGGCGAGGATGTCGAAGCTGTCGGGAGTACGTAGCCATGCTTTGTAAGGTAGTGTGTCGGGTCCCGGTGCGGAGTCGCCAGCCAGGCGAGCAGCCTTTTCAAGAGCTTGGGCGTCAGGTAAGTCGAGGTGGGTGAGCGCGCGTCTGGGGAAGATCGAGTCGAGGTAGTTGGAGAGGGCATATTCGGGAACATGCTTTGCAGCAAAGACGGGGGCCCAGTGGCGCATGATGGCCTGATGCATCGTCGCGGGGTCGGAGACGATGATGGTGACGCCGCCAGCGATGATCTTGACGCCCGTCAGGACGAGCCGCTTGGAGAATGGCTTCCAGAGCTCGCCGCGGAGGCCTTCCCGTTTGGCACGCTGGCGCCACCTCTGACCGAGCTGGACATTGTTGGAGGCGAAAGCGGCTCGCGAGCGTGCCGCAGAGAGGGCCTTGCGCTCGTCACTGAGGCTCGCGTGCGTGGCGTCGGTGGTCGAGGAGAAGCCGTGCATGTCGTTGATGCTGACGGTGCGGCCGTCAATCTTCAAGTGCAGTTTGCCGATGTCGGTGTTGTCGACCAAAATCTGGGCGAGGGGGGCGTTCTGGTACCATGCGGCTCTGGCGATGCTGCGTAGTGTCATGGCCCTGGTTTCCTTTTTGACAGTAGCATTTTGTGATGCTAGTTCGGCGGCTGGGACCTTGAGAAGCGTGCCACGGGCTCTGGCAGCGGCAACTCTCACGGCTGCCTTCAAGGCCCTCCAGCGCGCCGTGGGAGCGAGGAAAGACATGTCGACCGTGGCGAGCACTTTAGAGATGTGGTGCTTGTAGTGGTCGGTGTCGAAGATGTACGCGGGGATGCCGCGCTCGGTGACCTTCTTGGGCTTGCGGAGACGGATGCGCAGGTGCATGGTCTTGCGGTCGCTGACGGGGCCCTTGGGGTTCTCGAGGGGGGCGTCGTCGGCGATGTAGACAGTTTCCATGAAAGGCATGAGGTGGCTAGGCAAGTTGATGAAGCAGCGGTCAATAGTCGACTCGTTTTTGTTAGCCTCCGATCTGTGCGTCGTCGAGGGGGTCACAATCTCGGTGACGTCGCGGAACAGGTTGCGCCAGAAGACAGGTTGGTACTGATAACGCTGTGATGATGTGGTGTCTGAGTCGACAGGCGTGTTAATCGATCGCGGTGGGAACTCGGAGACGTTGAAGTCGCCGACGATGACTAGAAGCCGCTGCTGAGGGACTTCGTCAGCATGTTGGCGAAGAGCGTGCCATTGATCACGTAAGAGAAGCCGATCTGCTGGAGTCAAGCCGAAGTTGTGAATGTTGAGGACAGTGACTTCGTGCTGGAGGCTGGCATCCGTGGTCCGAAGCCAGGCGGCTCGGCCAGGGATGACGACCTCGAACCTGAGCTGAGGCCGTTCGTCTGGAGGAAGTTGAAGCTCTGCCCTGTCGTAGGGAACGAGGAAGCCAATGCCGCCAGCGTTAGTCACGGGCGCGCCGTTAACCCTCACGGGCGAGTGAAAAGCGTTGTACCGATGCTGGGTAGAGTTCGCCAGCAGCTTGAGGTCGTCCAGGGTCCCATGAGTCTCTTGCACTGCGATAAGAGCTCGTTGGCGAAAGTATGGTAAGAGTTGCTGTCGTTTGTCGGCGTGACGTAGGGCGGAGTGTCCAAGAAGTGCTTGCGTGTTCCAGAAGGCGATGTCCAGGCCCTCCTGAGAGGGCTTCAGGAGCCATGGGCTCCACCGAAGGCTAAAGCCACTGTGCGGCGGAGAGGGGGTCTGCGAAGTTGCTGATGAACTCGGCAGCGATCTGCTTCTGGTCATCTTCGGAAATGCCATGTCTGTTGGCAGCCTGTGACCACTAGAGCTTAGTAGGTACATCAGCATTGCTGCCAACAATAAGGCGAACCATAGCTTCGCCGCGGCACGATATGTAGCCCAGGGTTCTGTGTGTGCGAGCATCGAGGTCTGGCTTGACGTTCTGCATGATCTTGGCGAGGCGCTTGATCTGGACCTCCGTGCGGACGGCCTTCGGGCTCTTGTCGGCGGAGACATATAGAGGAACGTATTTATCATTACCAAAATCGAGAGCGAATGTGCGCCAATCCTTTCCATTGCGCAAAGCATTATGAAGACGTTGTGCCCGAGGTTCCGCCACCACTGTGCCACCACTGACCTGAAACGAGTGGCGCTTGGAAGGGCCGACCGTGTTGAAGATGACCATGTCCTTCTTGATGTTGGCGGCCTGGAACCATGGGGTGAGAGCTTTTTCAAGGTGTTGCTGACCGAACTCCTGCGGGCTGCTGCACCAGAAGGTGGTGATATCGGGGTCGCGGTCCCAGCTGCCCAAGCCGTCCAGGTTGAGGGCGGGAGCGCGTGCTTCTGCTGCTGTGATGATGGACTCCAGCTTGGCGACGGCGGCCTTGAGTTCGGACTTCTGCTCTTCCAGGACATTGGTGCGGAGCTTGACTGCCGTGATGTCTCGTTCTGTGGCTTCGTGACGTCTGCTGAGGTCGGACGTGATCTGCGTGAGTGAGGCAAGAAACTCTGAGCTGGCCTTTGCTGTGACTGCCTTGGCTGTGGCCTCGAACTTTTCGGTGGCGTCTTTGATCTGGGCGGCCATGGTCTCCTCGAGCTGCTTCCGAACATGTGCTGGAAGGTCGTGAACTGCGAGTTTGGATGCGCTGTCATGCCATGGGTCTTGTTGTCGCTTGACAGGGTCGGTGGCTCCGTCACGAGGGGTCGATGCAGCGCTGGCCAGGCAGTCTCCAGGAGGACCCATTTCGGCGACGTCGGCGATCTGAGGCCCGCGCCAGCCTCTGCGTATTGCGCGTGAAGGTGTCTGCAGGCGGATGCAGCACCAAATATGAAGCTCAACCCGCTGGGCAGCAGGAAGGCGAGGATATGAAAGCGTGTCCTTAGCTGTCCCTGGACCAAGGGTCTCCGTGCTCTGCCACGGGGCGAAATCATCTTGAGCCAAAATGGCTACGGAGGAGGAGGAGGAGGAGGAGGATGTTGCAGGAGAGGTGGGTGGAAAAGGAGGAGGGTGGCCGAGGGAGATGACGACTACGACAATAACAACGAAGACGACGGCCTCGACGACGGCGTCGACTGCGAAGGCGACGGCGACGACGACGAGGGCGACGGCGACGGCGACGGCGACGGCGCAGGCGCAGGCGACGCGAGGACGACGACGACGACGACGACGACGACGACGAAATGAGGAGGAGGGAAAGGACGAGGAGGAGGAGGAGGAGGAGGAGCAGCAGCAGCAGGGGCAGGAGGAGCACGAGAAGGGGAGGCAGGGCGGCCTGCGAGAGCAGCGCGCACAGGCTCAGGTGCGTGGCCGCTGCCTCCGGGTGCCGCGGTGGGGAGGGGGCGAGAGGTGAGGAGGACGACGAGAGCGAGGAGGTAGGAGAACGAGGACGAGAGGCAAGAGGGGAGTGTGGCAGGGGAGGGCGACGAGCAGGAGGAGGACGAGGAGGAGGAGGACGAGGAGGAGGGTGTGCGCGAGGCGAAGGTGAGGGAGGAGGACGACGAGAAGGAGAAGGACGGAGGAGGGGCCAAGGGGTCATCGCGGACGGTGTGCAAATTGAGCGGCGGCGGGCCTCCAGTTTCGGTGGGCGGCATGGTCCCCGGCCCCTGGGGTCCCCAGCTCCGTGTCTAGAGTTCCTGGCGACTCCTGTGGGCGGCCAGGCTCCCAGGTTCCCACGGTAGCGAGCAGAAGGAGACGAGAGGCGCAGCGAGTGGAGAGAGAAGAGAATGCAAGCACCCCGCGGAGAGCAGAGCGAGAAGAAATGGTGAAGAGGGCAGGGAGCACACCCCCCAAGTAGCGCTCGCACTTGAGGGCTCTCACGTGGGTGCCCAAGACATTGGATGGGTCCGCCGAGGTATCGCCTGGTGCGTGCCCGTGGGCGCCTTCGTGGGCATCCCGTGCGCTGGCTGGGTCCCTCGAGGTTTCGCCCGGCGGGCGCCCGTGGGCGCCCGAGTGGGGCCCGCTGTCGATTGCACAAGATGGATGGCACCACATGGATTGCACCGCTGGTTGCGCACCAGAGAGATCGCTGCCCCCTCTCCCTCTGACCCTCCCCCATCCCTCTCCTCCCGGTGTTCCCCTCCGCTCCTCCGAAGAACGCCTGTCGGAGCTCGGCGGCGCATGGCCTGAGGCCGAGTCGCCCAGCAGCACGTCGATTGGATGTATCCGTAACATGTATCTGTGGCATGGGATCCAACTATGAGTTGGCACCATGAATTTTTCAGAGGGTTGCATGACCTGCAAGCTGAAACCATGTTTTCATGCAGGGAAATCAAAGACTTGTGCTCTTAGAAAAGATCTGAAAGTAGAGGTTGCCGCGTATATATCGCAGCCCCAAAGCGGGGCAAAGAACTAAACTAGGAACCTAAAAAACAAGAAGCGAAGCCGAGACGCGCGATGAAACAAAGACAAGAATTCGTGTAGCAAGTCAACGCGCCACGAATCATTGCGGTCGCGCTGGGCGGTCGTGCTTGGGGTTACGCTGCAGGGCGTGGGGGGTTGTGCAGGAAGCCTGTGCTGCGGGAGTGTGCTGGGGGGTTGTGCTGAGGGGTTGTGCCGGGAGATTGTGCTGGAGGGTTGTGCTGGGGGGTCGTGCTGGGGAGTTGTGCTGGGGGGTTGTGCTGGGGGGTTGTGCGGGGGGGGGTCCAGGCGGTTGTGCTGCGGGGGCTGTGCTGCGGGTTGTGCTGGGGGTTGTGCTGGGGGCTGTGCTGGAGGGTTGTGCGGTGGGGGTGTGCTGAGGGGGTGCTGGGTGGTTATGCTGGGGGTTGTGTGTGTAGGGGATTGTGCTGGGGGTTGTGCTGGGGGGTCGTGCTTGGGGGTCGTGCAGGGTAAGTTATGCCAGTGGGTTGTGCTGGGGGCTGTGCTGGGGGGTCGTTGTGGGGGATGGTGCTGGGGGGGGTTGTGCTGGGGGGTGCTGGGGGGTTGTGCTGGGGGTTGCGCTGCGGGGTTGTGCTGGAGGTGTTTGCTGGGGGTTGTGCTGGGGGTCGTGCTGGAGTTTGTGTTGGGAGGTCGTGCTGGGGGGGTTGTGCAGGGGGGAGCTGTGCTGGGAGGTTGTGCTGGGGAGCTGTGTGCTGGGGGCTTGTGCTGGAGGGTTGCGCCGACAGGTTGTACTGGCGTGTTGTGCTGGAGTGTTGTGCTGGGGAGCTGTGTGCTGGGGGCTTGTGCTGGGGTGCTGTGCTGGTGGGTTGTGCTGGGGGTTGTGTTGGGGGGTTTGTGCTGGGGGTTGTGCTGGGGGGGTGTGCTGGGGGGGCTGTGCTGGACAGTGTGCAGGGGGGTTGTGCTGAGGGGAGGGGTGCTGGGGGGTTGTGCTGGGGGGGGGCACGGGGGGTTGTGCTGGGGGGGGGTGCTGGGGAGGATGCCGGGGGGTTGTGCTTGGGGTTGTGCTGGAGGGTTGTGCTGGGGAGTTGTGCTGACGGTTGTGCTGGGGGGTTGTGCTTGGGGCTTGTGCTAGGGGGCTGTGCTGGGGGGTTGTGCTGAGGGTTGTGCTGAGGGTTGTGCTGGGGGGGGTGCACGGGGGGTGCTGGGGGGTGGGGGGGGGTGCTGGGGGGCTTGTGCTAGGGGGGTACTCGTGGGTCGTGCTGGGGCTTGCGCTGGAGGGTTGTGCTGGGGGGTTGTGCTGGGGGTGTGCTGGGGGGTTGTGCCGGGGGTTGTGCTGGGGTTGTGCTGGGGGTTGTGCTGGGGGGATGTGCTGGGGGGTTGTGCTGAGGGTTGTGCTGGGGGTTGTGCTGGGGGGATGCACGGGGGGTGCTGGGTGGTGCTGGGGGGGATGCCGTGGGGTTATGCTTGGGGTTGTGCTGGAGGGTTGTGCTGGGGGGTTGTGCTAGGGGGGTGCTCGTGGGTCGTGCTTGGGGCTCGTGCTGGAGGGTTGTGCTGGGGGGATGTGCTGAGGGGGGATGCTCGGGCGTTGTGTTTGGGGTTGTGCTGGGGGTTGTGCTGGGGAGTCGTACTGGGGGGGTTGTGCTGGAGGGGATTGTGCTGGGGGGTTCTCCTGGGGGGTTGTGCTGGGGGGTTGTGCGGGGGGTTGTGCTGACGGGTGTGCTGGGGGGTTGTGCTTGGAGCTTGTGCTAGGGGGCTGTGCTGGGGGGTTGTGCTGAGGGCTGCTGGGGGGTTGTGCTGGGGGTGTGTGCTGAGGGGGTTGTGCTGAGGGCTTGTGCTGGAAGGTTGTGCTCGGGGTTGTGCTGGGGGGTTGTGCTGGGGCGTTGTGCTGGGGGTCTGTGCAGGGAGGGTTAAACCGGGAGGCGGTGCAGGAGGGTTGTGCTAAGGGGTGTGCTGGGGTGTTATGATGGGGGGATGCGCTGGGGGGCGGTGCGTGGGGATCGTGCTGGCGGGTTGTGCTGGGGGGTCGTGCTGGGGGGGTGTGCTGGGGGGGTGTGCTGGGAGGTAAAGCTGGGGGGTGTCACGACGGGGTGCTGTTGGGGGATTTGTGCTGGGGGTTGTGCTGGGGGGATTGTGTTGGGGGGTCGTGTGTGCTGGGGGGTGTGCTGGGGGGTTGTGCTGGGGGGTTGTGCTGGGCGTTGTGCTGGGGGGTCGTGCTGGGGGGTTGTGCTGGGGGGTTGTGCTGGGGGTATGTACTTGGGGGTTGTGCTGGGGGTTGTGCTGCGGGGTTGTGCTAGGGGAGTGTGCGGTGGGGTTGTGCTGGGGTGGTCTGCTGGGGGGTGGCGCAGGGGATTTATGCGATGGGCGTCCAAAACCTGGGTAGCGGGACGGTCCAAAGCGCGTGGAACGCCTGTGGGAGACGCTTGCAAGGACGCTGAAAAAGGCGTCTGGGAAGCGTGCAAGCTCGAGAAACAGAGCTTCGCAGAGGCCCAGAGAGAGCTTCGAAAGAGCTTCGGAAAGCCTTCCTGGAAACGTAATGGGAACGAAACGGAAAACGCCGTCGGGACACGCTGCAAGCCCCAGCGCACAACCCCCAGCACAACCCCCCAGTACAACCCTCCAGCACAACCCCCAGTACAACCCTCCAGCACGACCCCCAGCACAACACCCCAGCACAACCCCCCAGCGCAACCCCCAGCACAACCCCCCAGCATAAGCCCCCCTGCACAACCCCCCAGCACAACCCCCCAGCACAACCCCCCAGCACAGCCCAAAACCAACCCCCAAGCACAGACCCCCAGCACAACCCCCCAGCCCCCCCCCCAGCACAACCCCCCAGCACAGCCCCCCAGCACAACCCCCCAGCACAACCCCACCGCACAATCCCCCAGCACAGCCCCTCAGCACAACTCCGTAGCGCAACCACCAATACGACCACCAGCACAACGTCATCGCCGTGACAAGATTTAAACTCGGTTGTCGAGCATCACTCGCGCGATGGCCGTAGGGCATGGAGCAAAACAAGGGATCATAAAATATGGTCCTTCTTAAAGTAGGCCCGCGAGGCTGAGGCCCGACATGCCGTCCTAGTTGTCTGAAGTCCATGTAGGTTCATGCAGCGTGGGGTTATAATAAAAATGCACCAGGCAGATTGCAACACAGCCCACTCCGTAGCTTGCACCAACGAGATTTCACTACCCGGCTTACACCGTATATATCTTGCACCATATAGCTTGCACCAAAGATACTGCACTGCGGAACTTGTAGGCATGGCGAAGCAGTGGCAGCAACGCAGCGCAACGCAGTGCAAAACAAAGCAGCACAACGCAACGCAAAACAGAACAGACCGAACCAAAACATCGGGGCGGGAACGGGGCAGCAAGGGGGGACGCCCGCGGGGCGCTGGCGAGGCGCACAAGAAGGCGACAACGGAGCGGAAATCCAGAAGTGGCGCCCGTCTCCTCGAACATCTGAGAAGGACCCAATACTTGTTTATACCTTCGAGCTTGACTGGGTTGCTGCTGCTCGGTCCCACTGGGCGTAACAAATCACCCTAAAACAGGATCGCCTCAATGTAAGAAGCCGCCGGCGGTGTCAGAGCGGAAGGGGCCGCATGCGGTGTCAGAGCGGTGTCAGAGCCTCCTGAGAAGGACCCATTACAGCTCGCACTGTTCAGGGAAGCAAGAGAAGTTGGGCGAGTTCCGCCTCTCGGGTGCTCTGCCCGCGTAGCTGTCGAGGGCAGTCTCGAGGGATCTTCGGGGCCTTCCTGTTGCTATCGTTCGTGGCGCCCTGGTACGTCGGGCGCCGTTTTCGAGGCTGATGTGGCGGTCACGAGCGCATCCTGGATGCTCTTCGGGACCAGGCGGGCCCTCGGATCGGAGTGCTGCTTTGGGGCGGCCCAGGGCCGCGTCAAACCTGCATGGCGCGAGTTCGTGCTAATTGGGCGAACGACCTTCTGGC